TTGATGGACAGCGGATTCAGGCTGGACATTAGAAAGAACTTCTTCACTGTAAGGGTTGCCAGAATCTGGAACAGGGTCTGAGGGAGGTGGTGCTCACCCCCACCCCGGGTGTCTTCAAGAGGAGACTGGACAACCACCTAGCTGAGGTCATCTGACCCCAGCACTCTTTCCTGCCCAGGGCAGGGGTCGGACTCGATGACCTACCAAGGTCCCTTCCGACCCGAACATCTATGAAACCCACCACTTGCTTTCTGGAGTTGCCCTTCCCCATGAGGCAGAGAGCCGGGCAGCCGGGGGGGCTACCTGGTGCTCTCGCCATCACATCAGCTGTGCCCCGTGCAGGAAGCGGGACCTCCCTGCTCGTGCAGGCAAGTCCCTGGCGAAGGAAAGTGCAAAACAGCTGCAGAGTCAAGGAGGCACTTTCCAGCAGCTCCTGCTGGGCTCTGCAGCGTGCCCACGGCAGGGAGCAGGGGAGGGGGCAGCGCAGGCCAGGGCAGGTGCCAAGCGGGGCTGTGACGTGCGGCTGTGCTGGCTGGTGCGCCGCGTGGGTGAGCCGTCAGAGAGAGATGGTATCTGGCAGACTTTCCCACGGCTCAGGAGCTCCAGGGCCCGGCATGGAGGCAGGTGACTTCAGCAGCTGGAGAGCAGGCTCTGCTGCATCCAAGGGCTCCAGGGCCTGGCTGATAAGCGAAGCCAGCCCAGTGCTGCTAGCGGGCCCTCCCCCTGGGCCCAGAGGCCACGTCGTTCCAGATCCTGCTGCCAAGCAGAGCCTTGAACCCAGTAGCCTGCCTGGCCTCATGTGTGAGGCTGGCCAGGGCACTCTCCCCGCGCCCCGGCTTCCTGGTCTGGAAAAGAAACAGCATCAGTGTCACATGGGCATCCTGGTAAGGCATACAGCCTGTCCTCGCCTGACACAGCATGTGGGACCTCGGTGATGTGTGCAGCATGCTGTCACAAGGCACAGTGTGTAGGGACTCTGGTAATGGGAGCATCATGCTGTGACACGCAACACGGCATCAAGGGACTCTAGTAGCATGTGCAGCAAGCTGTCACATGAGGGCAGTGCGCAGGGCCCCTGGAAACGTGCAGCATGCTGTCATATGACAGCTGTGCACAGGGACCCCAGTAATGGGTGCATGCCGTCGCATGAGGGCAGCATGCAGAGCCCCTTGTCACATGTGCAACATGCCATGATGGAGAGACCCTGGGAGAGTGGAGCTCCCTTGTGCCGAGCGTGGCCAGGCAAGGATAAGCCCCTACAATGGTTCCACCCAAATCGATAAGCAAACCTGGCAGCGCAGCACTGCGCCATCTCCGATACCCACCCAGGGAGCTGCAGAGCCAGGCCCGAGCCCAGGTGCCCGGGAGGGGGGCCCAGGGCAGAGTCAGGAGCTGAACTTGGCACACGTCTACACTGCGGCGCCATACAGTTGAGCTCGCCCCGGGCAACTCAGGCACCCCATCCTCCTGGCTGTACGTGGCACCAGGTCATCCTGGCTGGGGACTCAGAGGGGACTGGGCTTTCCCATGGTGCTGCCCGCTCCACAGACACCAGACGGATGTGGCTGCATTGGTCAGAGGCAAGACACACTGATGTTAATGGCACAGAGTGGGCCATGGGCAGAGGCAGGAGCCACTCTCTTCTGCAAGGAGCCCTCATCATACTGCCCCCACCCTGGTGCCTCCTTGGCCAGTTGGGCAGTGGGGCACCAGCACCTCCGGCTGCCTGGGGCCTGGCCAGCAAAGGAGCTCAGCTGTGTGGGCTGCAGCTCAGCCCCGAGACCTGCCAGCCCAGGCACCGTTGGGCTGCACAGGCACAGGCAGGGCGTGCTTTGCCAGCAACGGGCACGAGTGCCCAGCCCGGTGCCCAGGGTAGTGGACAGGTCCTGCTCTGCCACAGACCCACAGGGAGACCCTGGGCGACTTGCTTTAGGCTCCCTTCAGCAAAGCGAGCTCTGCCGCTCCACGCACAGCCTCAAGGATGGGCTTGCTCCGAGCATGCGACTAGCCCTGGGGCAGCTCAGGGCCAGCGGGGTGGCGTGGCGCGGCGCCTTAGGCTCTCCCAGCATCTGGTTCCCCACCCGGGGCCCTGGGAGAAACAGTGCTCGCCTCGCAGGGACACGGCGAGGCCTCGCTCGTGGTTCAGGGCCCTCTGGGAGCCAGGAGAGCCGCCCGACACAGGAAATGCTGTGACTGCGACACACCCAAAACCCATGCTGGCGAGCGATGCCCTGCTGATAGCACCCTCCGCGCGCCTGCTGCGTCCAGGACCGTGCTGGCACGTGAGGTCTGATGCAGCACCCAGGCCCTGAGCTGCAAAAAGTCTGGTGGGGGTGTCACGAGAGCAGTGCCAGCGAGAGGGGTCTGACCCGCGAGACGCTGCCTGTCCTTCCCGCCGGGTCTGGTAGATGGCGCAGCCTCATTAAAAAAAGATGCCCGCATTCCCCCTTCGGCAGCGAGCTGCCCGGCAAACGTGTGCCCGCTGCTTGATGGCACACACGGGTGGGTCCCCGCTGCGCCGGGCTGCTTCTCCGCGCAGGGACGCGACGCCGGCGGGGCGTGGGCAGGGGCTGGGAAGGACGCGGCGGGGCCGGCGCAGGACGAGCGGCGAGGAGCGTGGCGGG